TCTATATTTGGTCTTGATTTCTTTTCTAAGTCTAAATAAATCCTCACTTTGGTACCCAACTTTCTATTCTTTTCCAAAATATCTAGGCTTCAGACCCCACACAACCTGGACTCACCCCTACACACTGACCATGCTCCCCTGCAAGCTGACTCATGTGCAGGTGCCCACCAGAGGCACATATAAGAGAACCCACCAGGCTCTCCCTACCAGAGGAGCCACGGAGGAAGGAAGACCCCTGGATAGCCACAAGTCTCCAGCTGCTTCTGGGAGGAGAACTCAGTGGCTACTAAACAGTCCTGCTGGGGACACCCTCGAAGAAATGCCCACATCCATCCATCCTTCCTACGCATGTGCACACCTGACCACCTACACCACAGCCATCCATATCGCCCACCTCCCCACCTCCCTCCCACAGCCTGCAGGGAGAGGCATTGAGGCTCTGCCTTCCCAAAAGGCAAGCCCAGGGAGTGCTGATGCTCTGCCCCACGCCACACTGACACCCTAAAGGACATTGCTGAGGAATGGCAGGAGTCCATGAGGGAGAGGGAGAGTGAGGACTGGTCACAGAGGAATGGGAGTGGGGCTGGGGAGGCCAAGGGAAGGGGCAAAAGGAAGTGAGGTAATATCTCATTTAATCCTCGCTAAATATTATTTCCTTTATGCATATGAGGAAACACAAGCTTAGAGAGGGGAAGGGACTATTTTACACAGCTAGTAAGCAGCAAAAATGAGATCTGTAGCCAAATATGTCTAGACCTGTGATTCCCTCAACCAAAGGAAATTGTACCTACCTCCCAGGGGACAGTTTGGCAGTGTCTGTAGACCTTTCTGATGATCATGACTGGGGAAGAGGCTTCTACTGACATCTAGTGGATAGCGGCCCACTAAACATCCTACAACGCACAATGCAAGACCCCACCCACCCCAACAAAGGACTATCCGCTCCAAGATGTCAACAGTGCAGAGGCTGAGAAACCCTGGTCTAGATACCTTCCCAGAGTACTTTTCCCCTTCCTCCCTTTCTAGTCTTCCCATGGCCTAAGTGAGCTACAAGGCCCTGCCCCAGAGGCTGCAAGAAGGAACAGCTGTATACCCCACTCTTGCCCAGCCCTGGTTAAGCACCAGGATCACTGCTCAAGCTACAGGTCCTGTGGCCAAGGTCACCAGTTTCCCACTGTGACACCCCTGGGTTCACTCTCTCCTGCCCATTGGAAGGAGGAGGCTTGGTCTGGGGTGGGGATGTCTGCCACCCCACTACTTACCATCATAGCAGGGCTACCCCAAAGCCTGCCCTGCCAATACCCAGCTTGGGTTAGTTTCCAGGCGTGGCCACAAGGTGGCAGCCCAGCCCACTAGGAGTCCCGAGGCTCCTGGCCTGCTGCAACCTGGACAAAGGCCTGGGGGGGGGGGGGGGCTTGACTTGGGCAGCTCCAGAGCTTAGCGGTACCAGATCTAAGGACTGCAAGTGCCAGCTGGGAAAACATAGGCCAAACTTGGTTTCGGAACTCCCTTCACCTTTTTCTAGTCCACTCCCAGCCCCAGCTCGTCCTCCAGGCTTTCTCACACTGGCTCAGTGGAGCCCAGCACTCCCTCCTCCCTGGCCTGAACAAGAAAAATTCCAGAATCGAGGTGTTAAGGATATAGGAATTATTTTCACTCCCATTCTACAATAAAGAAACTGAGGCACAAAGAAGTTGAGTAACTTTTCCAAGATCATGGCTAGGCGGTGGTGGAGCTGGGATTTGAACACAGGCAGTCTGGTCCTAGAGGTTATCCACTGAACAATGCTGCCCCACCGGTAGCATTAGCCCCTACCCACACCAGCCCCAGCTACCAAAGGCCCTTTAGCCTGGGACCACAAGCCTTCCTGTGCAAAGGAGGGGGCAAATGGCAGTGAATAGGGGGCAACTGCTCAAAGCAGAAAAGGGGTGAGGTTTTTTGCTGGGCTGAATGGTCTGTGGTTAGTAAGTGAGAAGTTAGGACTTGATCAATAATTCCTCTCCCATCCATATTTCTCTGTTTTCTGGGTTTTGGGGGTTGTTTTTCTTCCTCTCCTCCTCCTGTTATCCTCTTGATTTTTCTGGGCATTCTGCAAATGCCAGCCTTCTCACAGAGTGAAGGGGGAGTGAGAGAAGGAACTTTTATGTCCTGCTTAAGATACAGAAGCGGGGGGCATTCCTTGGGGCCTGGGCTGGGAGGTGTCATCAGGGATCAAACTGAGAATCTTGAAGTGGAACAGCATGGGGGCACCTAGGGACAGCTACCCTTTCTCCCTGGGGGACTCCTCTATCTGAGGCTTCTCTGCTCACTTCTGGGGGGATTTTAGGGCATAATGGAAACACTTTCACATTCCCTCTGCCCCCAACCCTGGCTTGCCTCTCTTTTTCTAGCACATCCTCCAGGGTTGGGCCTGCCCAGAGTCCCCAACCAGCCAAATATCCCCCTACTAGGAGCCCTTTGTCTCTCTCTGCCTCCTAACATCTCCCCATCTCCACCTGCTTCTCCCCTGGGGCACACTGCAGCTCTCCATTAAGACTCACTACCATGGTGGTAGTGGCCTTGGTGGGGCTCTGTACTGATTCCCTGAGAACCCCTGAGTAAGTCCCCACTCCCTGCTCACATTAGTTAGGGGGTCCAGACTCCCACAGTCTCTGCCACTGGGATTCTAGCATCCCAGCCCTTCTCCTAGCCTTTCTCCAGTCATCTAGACCTTAGCAAGGAGCTACTGTGTTCTGGGCACTGTGGAGGAAAGCGAACAAGGAAGTCCTGGAGGAACTGATGGTCTTTTTGTGGAGATGAGCGATAGAGAAGGCTGGGGAGCCAGTCTCTGAGCCCATGTGGTTCTGCAGGAGAGGAAAGAGGTGGAATCTTAGGTCCCTATGGTTGGCAGAATCCCAGAAGTTTTCCTCAGTGAGAAGCTAGACATCTGGCTGGAAGGAAGGGAAGGTTTAGAGAGGCCTCTTTCTTGTCTCTCCCCATCTTGATTTCTCCCAGTTGTGTGTGTGTGTGTGTGTGTGTGTGTGTGTGTGTGTGTGTTTATCTCTCTGTGTCCATCTTTTTCTCTTCTTTCTGGGGTCTCCATTCCTCCATTGCATCAGCTCCCTAGGGTTGAGGCAGAGTTTTCTGAAAGTCCATGTCCTAGGGATCTGGATACAGGCCAGGCTGGCCTGCACCCGGCAAGCCTCCTCATGGTCAGGGGATGGAACTCACACTGGCCAGGGTGAGAGGTTCACTCAAAAACACTTCCATCCCTGCATTGCTCTGATGTTGAAGGGGAAAGAACTATTTAGAGGAATAATGCAGATCAATCTCTGGAGAGAGGAGGTGCACTCCTGGTCCCAGGCTCTCTTTGTCTCTGCCCATCTCTGCCCCTGTTTCTGACTTAACTGTGCCTCTCTGTCTCCCCCACCCCGCCCCCCCTTCCCATCTGTCATTCCATGCCCTGCTCCTTCCCCTCAAGTTGCTCCAAGCCTTTTCCCAACATACACAGATTCCCTGCCACTGGGTTGGGAATTCCCCCAGCCAACTAAGGAGAGAGATGTCTGTGGCTCAGTTTTGTCCCCAGGCCCACAACAGCATCTGTGGGTCAGTGTAGAGGGACAGCTGTCTGCACAGTTAGAAAGTGCCAACAGGTAAATAAGAGCCTCCTATCTTCTTAATTAAATCGCCTTTGCCCAGGCAGCCTGTGTTCGATTGGGCTGAGCTGGGATCAATATGCCTCTTTCCCAGCCCCGCCGCCCCTGGAACTGGGCCTGACCTCACCAGTCCTGCCCAGGCCCACCTGCCCACCTCCCCAAAAGGCCGAGAGCTTCTCGAGGGCAGGGGCCGGGTCTGAGTCATCTCTTGTGCCCTTGTGCCTGGGACAGAGCCTGAAATAAGTAAGGAGTAAAGGAGTGATTGCTTGACTGGGTCAAGCGAGGCACTGGCAGCAGCATGGGCCAGGAAGGCTTTGAGGTCCAAACCGTAACTCCCACCCCAGGATCAGCTGTGATGCTGTGGGAATCCCAGCAGGCAGTCGCTCCCACCCAGCCACCAGAGGACACAACGTGGGCTTACCACCAGGGCAGCGGACGCCCTAAGGCGGGTGTCAGTGTTCAGGGAGACAGTCGCAGTTGCTCCTCTGATCTCCGAGGGCAGAAGGCCCTTTTCACAAGGGATCCCCAGCTAGGGATCTAGGGTTGGTGGGGACAGTCAGTGAGCTGGGTCAATGAGGCAGAGTTCTGTGGCACTTACGAGAGACTAGGTCTGCCTGAAGTTATCAAGTGCCTGGGGTCAGTAAGGGGTCGACAGGGTTAATAGGGGTCGAGGGCTGGTTGTTAGAGGACAGCTTAGAGAATAACGTGTGTGTGTGTGTGTGTGTGTGTGTGTGTGTGTGTGTTATTTTTGAGTCCATGCAAGAGAGAACCTATGGGGGCTCCAGGTTCCAAGGGAAGCGTGGGTATTAAAGGGTTCCTTGGAGCGGTCAGAACTGGTCCCAGTCGAGGTGTCACTGATGGCTGTGAGGAGTGTCTTACTCACCCGGGGATCAGAGAGTTGGTTTGGAAGGAGAGGGCGGGTGCCGACGCCCTTCTCACCTCAGTCTGACCCAGGGGCACGGGCCCAGACGTCTCCCCGAGCCCCCGCCCATCGAGTGGCGTTCCCTGAGGGCGGAGCGTCGGCGGGTCCCCCGGGAACTGCGAGAGCTTAGCGGGGCGGGCGCCCCCAGCGCCGGGGTTGAGGGAGGCCGGGTTCGGCGCGGGGCTGGGAGAGGGGCGCGGAATCAGGGCTTTTTAGGACCCAGCGCGGCGCCTTCCTCCGGGGGCGAGTGCGGCTGCGCGCGCCGTGTGCCCGTGTCCGGAGAGCGGCGGGCTGGACGCGGACCGCGCGAGCGAGCGAGCCAGCAAGCCAGCGGAGCAGCAGCCGGGCGGCAGCAGCGTCGCGGCGGCGGCGGCGGCCGCTCCGCGCCTCGCCTCCCCGGCCTCGCCGGCCTCACCTCGCCGCGCCCGGACCCGCCACCCCCGCCTCCTGGGCCCGACCTCCGCAGCCCCCTCGCCTCGGCCGGCAGCGCCCACCGCCTGCCCGAAGCGGGGAGCGGAGCGCGGGGCGCAGAGGCACCGGAGCCAGTGCTTGCCGGCCCCGCGAACCAAACCCAGCCCGGAGAACCCCCGCCCGGCCCCGCGCAGCTCCGCTACCGCCCGGGAGCTGTCCCTTCAGCACCGCCGCGGGAGCCTCAGTCCGAGCGCAGCCCAGCGGAGCCCCAGCTCGAGCCTGAGCGCACCGAGAGCAGCGCTCAGCGTTCGCCGCACCAAGCAACACCCCGGGTGCCCCTGCCCTGGGGGCCCGCCATCTCCTCCAGGAGGCGGGGAGAAGGAACGAGGAGGGCGGGCGGGCGGGCGGGTGCGCCCGCCGCCGGGGGGAGCAGGCAGCCAAGCAAAGAGAGAGGGAGGGGGCCGGAGCCCGCCCTGCGTCCCGAGCTGCAGCCCGGCCACGCAGGGAAGAAGGCAGCCGGCATCCATCTCCCCAGCGCCGCGAGCGCGCTGCGGCGACCACCGCACAGAGGAGCCTGAATTTCCCGGTCCCCTCTCCTCTCCCGCTTCCGGGGGCTGGTCTATCCGTCCCGCCCTGGGGGCAGCTGACCTTCCCCCCAAAAGCGTTGTGCTGATTTCTCCATTTTCCCGCTGAGATGGGTACGGGAGCCCGGCCCCCCCACCCTCTTTCCCCTCCTCCCGGGGCTCGCCGCTGAGCGCCGCCCCCCTCCCTTCCTCCCTCCCTCTCTCCCTCCCTTCTCTCCTCTGCCTCCTCCGCAGCCGGACCAGCTCCCTCCCACACCTGGCACCTAGAGACCCTTGGGATCCCGCGCACACTCCCTTGGACTGGCACCAGACAAAAGCTCCTTAGGGGCTTGGGTCGCTCGTTGGGGTGGCCAGAGCCGCGGTCCTCTGTTCCCCCCGACGGCTGGGGGGAGGGGGGAGGAGGCTGCGCGCCCCCCTCCCCGGCGCCATCTCCCCCTGGCGGCCGCTCCCATGGGTGTCGGTGGGCCGCGCCATGCCTAAGGGGGCGCCGCGATGGGCCAAGGGGACGAGAGCGAGCGCATCGTGATCAACGTGGGCGGCACGCGCCACCAGACGTACCGCTCGACGCTGCGCACGCTGCCCGGCACGCGGCTCGCCTGGCTGGCCGAGCCCGACGCCCACAGCCACTTCGACTATGACCCGCGTGCCGACGAGTTCTTCTTCGACCGCCACCCGGGCGTCTTTGCGCACATCCTGAACTACTACCGCACGGGCAAGCTGCACTGCCCGGCCGACGTGTGCGGGCCGCTTTACGAGGAGGAGCTGGCCTTCTGGGGCATCGACGAGACCGACGTGGAGCCCTGCTGCTGGATGACGTACCGCCAGCACCGCGACGCCGAGGAGGCGCTCGACAGCTTTGGCGGCGCGCCCCTGGACAACAGCGCGGACGACGCGGACGCCGACGGCCCTGGCGACTCGGGCGACGGCGAGGACGAGCTGGAGATGACCAAACGCCTGGCGCTCAGTGACTCCCCAGACGGCCGGCCTGGCGGCTTCTGGCGCCGCTGGCAGCCGCGCATCTGGGCGCTCTTCGAGGACCCCTACTCGTCCCGCTACGCGCGGGTAAGTAACCACTTACCCATCAGAAGAGCAGGGCAGGGAAGGCAGCGTCCTGTGCCTCCCGCGGGAAGGGGTGGGCTGGAAAACTGGCGCCTAGGGAGTTCAGAACTGAAAGGGGTGTGTGCAGAGAGAGAAAGAGGGAGACTCTTTGTGAGGGTGACTGGTTCTATATGTATGTAAGAGTCTGTCTCTATTGCCGAATTTAATATGTATGAGTATGAATGGGTGTGTTTGTGTGTATGAGTAGATTAGATTGTGTGTGCATATTTAGGCAAATGTGGTGGTGTATATTTGGGTGGGTAAAGTGTGTAGCGGGGATGAGTGACCATGTGTGCATGTGTGAGTGTGCACGAGCACATGTTTGTGCATATTTGTGTCTTCGCAGATGTACACTGTGACGGTGTGAACTGCCCTCTAGATTTTAGTGTGGGGAGGGAAGTTGGGAGCTCCTTCTCCCTTTCAGGTAAGGGGGCATGGGGAGCCAGCCCAGGGGCACACCAGAGAGGGCCCAGAGGCCTGCTGGCCAGCTGGAGGCAAACAACCCCCTCCTCAGAGAGCAGCCTCAGGTGATGCTGAGGGGGTGGTCTGTCCCCTCACTAACCTCCTTGGCTTGGGTACTTGGTGTAGGACTAGGCTGTGGGTGGGGGATGTGATCCCTCTGAGACCTCCTCCTGGGAGGGCTTCCTCCTTGTTGAAAGGGGAGGGGGTCACTGGGCTTATGCCTGTGTATCTTCTGGGACCTGTCTTGGGGCAGAGAGGGGGGTCCCTAAGGGGGAAGCTACAAGGAGAAGGTGTGTGAGAGGTGGGCGTGTCCTCACGGGCCATTCCCCATTAGTGATAGCAGCTTGTTGTAGGAAAGAGAGGACACCTGCTGCTGACCTTGACCCCTCTGATGGCCTCTCTTGATCAGTTTCCCCATCTGTAAAATAGGAGAGGGGATACGGTGAACTCCAAGGACCTTTGCTGTTGGATCATCAGGAACTGAGCCCAAAAGGAGAGGCTAGTGGCAGCCACCTACCCAGGAAGAGACCCCCTTGGCCTTTGCTGCGCTCAGTCCTCACAGGCCTGAAGCACAGGGGGAGGAGCAGAGTTAGAAATTTAAAGCAGAGCCCCTCCCCCAAAGGTGCCCCCCACCCCCAGGCAAAGCCCTGTCTCTGCCCTGCTGTGGTCTTCTACAGCTCCGCACCCCTCCCCTCCTGAGCCAGGGGATGGGGGTGGGGAGGAGGAGGACTCTGCAGAGGGTCAGTGGAGGAAGGAGAGTTGGGGGACCCAGGTGCCCATGGGCAGAGAAAGGCTGTGTTTAGGCACAGGTCTGGTGGCTTTGTTACTGAAGTAAGACACACTAGGGCCCATGAGAGAGGAGACAGCAGGTCAGAGTCTTATACCTTGAACCCTAGAACAGGTGTATTTATGTGGGGTGGGAGTGGGGTAATAGGGAGAGAACCAGGCCCCCCTGTTTTGCCACTGAGGACCTGCCCAAGGTCACCTAGGGAGCTGGAGGCTAAGAAGGACTAGAACCCAATTCTCCTGGGACCCTGTCTTCCCCCGAGCTGGCCACCAGCTCCTGCCATTCCTGAGTGGACTGGGATCCTCAGAGGCCTCCCTTCCTTCCCCTTTCCTGACAGGCCACCACAGCTAGAGGGTTATGTAACTGGAGGCTGGACTGAGCTGGGGGGAGGGGCTGGCAGAGGGGGAGGGGCTGGCAGAGGGGGAGGGGCTGGCTGAGGGGAAGGGGAGGTATTGGGGTAGGGGTGGAAGGCAGGCTCGCCAAGGCAGGCCTGGGTTACAGCAGCTGCCAGATTAGCCCACATTCGACCTTGGACAGCACCCCCCCTCCTTTACCCCCTCCACTTTGGCCTGAGGAGCAAGGGGCAGGCCCAACTTCCTCATTGTAGTCTCAGCCTCCTGGCTGCCTAGCAAGGGGAGGGTCCTCCTACCCTACTCCCTGGACTTAGCGTTAGGGCTCTGATCAGTGTCCCTGAGTTTCAGGGCAGGCAGGGGTCAGAGGGGCATGTTGTAGCCCCTCCCCTGTCCACCCCATCCCACTGGACATTCCTAGGCTATGGGGTGGGCTTCACCCAAGGCAAACAAATGAGCCAGCTAGCGTGGTTTGAGGTCTTGTTGGTGTACAAAACCATATGGAAGTCTTGGAAAATCTCTCAAGTGAGTGTCCCTTGAAGAGCAGCATTCAAGGGAAAATCGGGGAGGTCTGGGGTGGCAGGAGGTGGTGGGTAATGAGGAGGGAGGTGGATGTTAGTAGGTGTCCCCCCTCAGCCTGTCTGTGCCACCTTCTTTCTACAGTGGCCTCACAAAAAGGTTGTAGTCCCAACTCCCTTGGGTAACAGATGAGGACACTGAGGCCCCTGGGGGGACCTGCCCAAGGGCACACAGGAAGCGAGGAGGGCAGAGCTGGGATTAGAACCCAGGCTTCCTGCTGCTGCTGCTGCTGCTGCTGCTGGCCAGCTGAGCTGCATTGCGCTGCCTCTCTGCGGCTCATCTGCGCAGAGACCGGCTGCCCGCCCTCCTCCCCTCCATCTTTGCTCGGCTGCCACTGCTGTCACCTTGGCTTACCCTCCCCCACTCGGGCCTCCTCAGAGCGGTGGGTCAGGATTCAGATTCTTATTCTGGATTCTAGGCCAGAATCGCGTGTGTGTGACATTGTATAGGTGTGTAAGACAAGAGCTGTGGTGTGAGAGAAAATCTGTGTAAGAGATTCTGAGTGAGTGTGAGAGACTTCGTGTGTGTGAGAATAAAATACGTGAGTGAGGCTGTGTGTGTGGTTCTGTGAGAGCTTCTGTGAGTCCCTGTGAGAGAAATTGTGTGTGCATGTGAGAGAGACAGATTCTGTGTGTTTTGAGAGATGGATGCGTGTGTGTGTGTGTGAGAGAGAGAGAGAGAGAGAGAGAGAGAGAGAGAGAGACTGTGTGGGAGAGGCTGTGTATATAAGCAAGAGAGGCTGCATGTGTAAGGGGTGCTGTGTGTGAGATTCTGGGATGTGTGAGAGACTCGAAGCGAGTGTGTCCATGTGAGTGCATCACTGTGTGTGACGCTCTGCGTGTGAGGCTGTGTGTGTGCCCACGTAAGGCTGTGTGCATGAGACCTTCTGTGCAAGAGGCTATGCGTGGGTGGGGGTCCCTGTGTGTGACACAGACTGTGTGTATGTGAGGCTGTGTGTAAGACAGAGACTGTGTGCTGCGTGTGTGTGTGTGTGTGTGTGTGTGTGAGAGAGAGAGAGAGAGACCCTGGGCATGTGTGTCAGTGTTCCTGTGTGCGCTTGTACCTGAGAGAGACCCTGAGTGGCCTGGGTGCAAGTGTGCCTCCAGGGAGGTGAAATTCCAGAGCAGCTTCCTGCCCGCTGCCCCTGTCTGCTGGGGCTCCTGAGCTGCCCTGCCGGACACTTCCCATCATTTCCTATCCTGTGCTAGCCCGGGCCAGTTGTTGGTGCGTGGGCTGGATGTGAGGTCACCTTTCCCTGGAGCTGCCATCCATCCTGGGCCTTCCTGTTGGCCCGGAAGATAGGGGCTGCTTGGCTGCCTTGGGGGTACTGTCTGGGCTCCTGAGTGGTGACAGTGCCAGCTAGAGTGACTGCTCCCTGCCCCCCCCTCCTGTGGTTCAGGCACCAGCCTGAGCAGTGAGGGGTGGGGAGATGAGCTGAGACCATGGAGCTGGATGAGCTGGTGTCCGGGCTGGGGGACGGTGCCCCAGGCACACACAGCTTAAGAAGGATGCTGATGCTCTGTGGTTAGGCAGTGAAGGGGCCTCCTAAGAACTGTCCCAGAGGAGGTAATGCTGGGGAAAGCTTTGAGGGGCAAGTAGGGGTTATCAGGGCAGAGGACAGGAAGTCCTCACATGCCGTGCAGTTTGTTGGGACAGCCTGGCTGGACACTTGCCCTTCTTTCTTCCTTGGGGGTCAGCTCAGGTCCAAGGCCCCTGGCTTTTGCCTATGATTTGCATGTTGTCACCAGAGCATCATCTGTGTGCCATCAGGCCAATGGTGGTCCCTGTGCTGCAGGCCAGAGAGTGTCCCTAGTATGTGTGTGTGGGGTGTGTGTGTATGTGGTGACATCTGTCCCCCAGAGTCACTTGACCTTCAAAATACCAAAGAAATGCCAATGATCCCCAGGCTAGGGAAGCTCCACCTCCATCAACTGCACTGGCCTCCTCTCCTCTGACACCTTGTCCTGTGCCCATCTGTTTGCCTTGTTCTCGTCTCTTTGGGACCTGATGCAGACCTGACCCCACCTCAGCTCCCTGGGAAAGGAATTCTCCTGGTAGCTGGAATGAAGTGTCTGGCCAGAGATCTTGTCCCTCCCTTGGGTCCCAGCTGACGCGGGGCTCTTGAAGTCTTGGGTTGGCATACATAGGGGTGGAGACAGAGCTGTTGTCAGGGACCTCACCTCAGAGCCTGCACCCCCAGGCCAGGGCCCCACTCAAGTCCCATGTGAAGGAGACCCCTGAGTATGGAGATGGGGCTGGGTGTGCTTCCCTCCCAGCTGCCCCAAGGCCCTGCCACAGTGGGTCCCCTGTTCGGTGTTCCTCTCCTTCCTGTGTTCCTTGTGCAGGGGTCCCATGTCTTTGAATGGTGCCTCCACCACCCTCAGAGACCCCCTCACAATAACAAAAAGCTCAAACCAAGCATCTGCTGGTCAGAGTCCCTCAGCCCCTTTACCATTAGATGGGTAGAGTGACAGAACCGACCTGAGAGAGTTGATGTAAAGATAAATAGCCTGAGCCACAGGGCCTGGCATACAGTAAATGCTCAATAAATGTTGGCTGCTATTATTACTGCTGTTGGTTGTATCATCATTTTACCTCCTGCTACCTCTGGACTCTGTCCTCGTCCCTCCATCTCCACATCCACCATCCCAGCTCAAGCTGCTATCATTCCCCTCACGCCACCTCCCCAAAGCTTCCGGCCTGCTCTCCTGCTCTGGCCCCCCAGCCCCTCCAGTTCATTTTCCACCTGGCAACCACAGGGGGCTTCTCAACTCACAAATCTATCAGGTCACCAGCTTGCCTGCTTAGAACCCTTCAGCACTTTCCCAGCCCGGCCTGTCTACCCAGTTTGGTCTCCCCTGACCTACCTCTCTCCATGGCTTACCCAGCTCCAACCAACTGGCCTCTTTTACAGCTTCTGGAATGTGCCAGGTTCCCCTGCCCCAGGGCCTTTGCGTATACTGTTTCCTCTGGAGCACTTTTTCCTCTCAGTTCATCCCTCTCCGTCCCTCACACCCCACCTCAAACATCAGTTCCTCAGGGATGCCTTCCCAGGGTCAGAGTTCAGGACCAGAGAGAGAAGCTGTCTGGTTCGTAGTAAAATGCTCATTAGCAGCCTTGCTTGGTTCAGGTTTGTTCCCCCCTCCCGACTGTAAGCTTCCTGCATGCTCAATATAACAGGAGCTATTATTATGACAGATGAGGAAATTGAGGCCCAGAGAGAAGTGCTTTACCTGATGTCACATGTGGACAGGTTAGCTGGGAGGCTGGTTCATAAACCAGTGTCTCCCAACTCCTGGCTTAGGGGGTGCTTTGTGTCACATCATCTACAGAGTGTCTGGAGTCTGGCACCCCAGGGGCAGGAGTCTGTGTGCCCTGGCTCTGTGCAGGAGGTCTGGCAGCTGTCAGGAGCTTTGGAGAGGGTTGGCTTGAGCTTTTTCATGGGGGGAGGTGGGTTGTCTCAGAAGTGTGTGTGTGTGAGGGGTTGTCCAGAGGGGGCTCATTCCAGGGCCCATCGCCTGGGCTGGGGATCTTGAGGCCTCCCACGACAGCTGAATATAGTGTCTCTGCTATTCTGAGCGGTCTCATGACCAGTGCATTCGCTCTGGACCAAAAGGTCAGGCCTTGAGCCGCTGCCTCCCCCCATCAGCTCCTGAGCCAACCTGGCCACCGCTCCAGCCCGAGCTCCCCGTCCTTGTGTGCAGGCTTAGAGGAAAAGGCGTGCCTGAGAGGTTCTAGGGACAGTTTGCTGCCTTATCCAAGGGCACTACTTGGGTGCGAGGGACTCTGCACATGCATGGCGCTATTGGAGCAAATGGGTACCTCCAAGCCACCTCTGGTCACTGCCTTCATCCAGTGGAAGAGAAACAGGCTCAAAGAGAGAAAGACACATGCCCAAGACTACATAGGGGATCAGTGAGACTCAAACCCACAGCCCAGGCCTGTGGGCCCAGGGCCTGGCCATCCATATTTCTTTTGGCTCTCAGTTTTAGAAGAACACCAAATCCCACCTGGGCATGCTGTTCTTCTCCCACCCACTCCCATTAATTTCCTCCCTGGAGGGAGGTAGAATAAGCAGTCACCTGCCATTCCAGGGCCCAGCACAGCTGGTTGAGACCATCTCAGGCCAGTCAATCCAGACTTGGCCCAAATCATTAGCATCCCCCCAGCAGGATTTTCCAGAACCATCTGCTTTCTTGAATCACAATACTAATAGCTTCTATTAGTATTCTAAAAGCACTTACTGTGTGTTAGACACTGTCTTAAGAGCTTGATTTGTGCATTCTCATTTAATTCTCACAAGAATCTCACAGGACTGCATTATTATTATCATACCCATGTCACAGACAAGGCAACTGAGGCTCAAGGAGGTTAAGTCACTTCTCCAAGGCCACTTAGCTCACATGTGGTAGAGCAGCAGTCAGACCTGGGTCTGCCTGACACGAGAGCTCTGTCCATAACCACTGCACGATACTGCTCTGTCCATGTTCCAGGGATGGTGGGGTCTATGGCTTGCCATGCCCCAGGCTTAGAGTTCCATCTGGTTCCCTCCTTCCCCACCACACGCTCTTTCCACACCTCCTGTCCAGGGATCCTCAGCAAGTTCTGGCCCCGGGATAACTGCAGGTGAGGGCCCTGCCTGGCCGGGCTCAGGGGCTGAGGGAGTTCTCCGGCAGTCCCAAGGAAGAGGGTTTTGTGACGGTGCTTCACCTGTCCTCCTGCTCCCATCCATGCAGGCCCAGGGACTCCATATAGCCTGGAGGGAAATGGTAGAAGGATTGGAAGAATCAGAAGTTGTCCTGCGAGAGATGATACTTGGTAGGAATGCTGGCTGCCCCGTAGATCGGCATTCAAGGCCTTCTACTGTGGAACCTGGCCATAGCTCCTGCTGCTCCCTTCTGCCTGGCCTCTTCCTCTTCAGCCCTCATTTTAACATCTGGGTTCTTGCTCATCTATGTCTCTCACTTCACTGTCCTTTCTGCTTGTTGCTGTACATGCAAATCTATGCCTCAAGGTCCCTAACACTTAGCCTGGCCGCTCCTGCCCTTGCTGACCCTCTCCTCTTGGAGTGAGGGGTCTAAGTTGGGCACCGAGTCACCCAGCTTGCATGATTGGAGCTGGGGGCAGGCAGGCCCTCAGGATTAGGGACTGGCCCAAGTATGTGGAGAGAAGAGGTCACAGACAATACTCAGGTTGTGGGCATCAGACAACTGGACCAGAGCAAGATCTGTAGCCAGGCTACCTTGGACAAGTCCCACGGCCCCTTCAGGCTGCAGTTTTTTCATGTATAAAATACAGAAATCTTCTAAATGACCACTAAGCCTCTTCCCAGCTCTGACATTCTGAGAGTCCAAGAATTCCGAGCTTCAGCTTCCCAGAGGAGCTGGGGAATCAAGTTAGTCCTTCCCTTTTTCTCCTTCCCTGTCCCAGCCTAGCTCCTCTCCAGGCCACATGTGAGCTCTCCTGGCAAGGGTCCAGGTTCTAAGTGGGTAGGATCCCAGGGGAGGGGTCTAAAGAGCTTCCTCCTAGGTTCATTCAGCCTTCCTCGCCCTGTTCTCATTCATTCATTCAAGGCGTTGTAATCACACTCCCGCCTGAGCAGCTCACCCAGCCCTCTGGAAGGCACAGACCTGGGGGTGCCACCCCTTCAGGGTGTGCTTGCTCAGGCTGAAGGCAGCACCTGTTGCCCTCTTCTACGGGCCCTTCTTGTGACTGTCTGCGCTCCGGGAGTTGCAGAAAGGCCCTTTCAGAGGGAGACAATGCACGGGCTGAAGGGGCTGGAGCAGGGTTCGTGGGGACCAGCTTCGATGGTGTAGGGGCACTGTGGAGAGGGGTGCAGGGGTGGGTGCTGTGCTGGGCCAGGGCTGGGAAGGGCGTTTGCAATGGCTGCTGTGGGGCTGTAAGGGTCGTTGCTGGAAGACTCCACCCGTGGCTGACCCTTAGAATTACCTGGGATGCTTCAAAAAGCTCAGCCTTCTGGGCTCTGTTCTGGGAAGTTCGATTCTTAGATCTGGGGAGGGTGAGAATGTTTACTTCACTCCCAGATGGTGCTGGTGCTCGGCGGCCAGGGAGAATCACTGCAGTGGGGTCTGGGGTGTATGAGCTCTCTCCACTCAAAGGGGGACCCTCTGACCAACAGCGCCACCCGGACACTTGTTAGACGTGAAGTTTCAGGCCCCGCCCCAGACCTGCTGATTCAGAATCTGCATTTTAATGAGATCCCCAGATGATTCATACACACTGGAGTCTGAGAAGTGCTGATGCAGGCAACCGTTACCAGCCGAGGGGAGGGATCCGGACGCAGAGAGGGCCGGATGGGTGTGTGCAGGTTGGCAGAGCTTCCCGAGGACTCTCTTCCTTCCTGTGGCCAAGATGTAGATGTCGGGGTAACTGACGGTCTGGGGTAAGGCCCCGTTGCACCGATTGGCAACTGCATCCATCCAGTTACTACTAGAAACACTTGGAAGTCATCCTCGACCCCTCTCTTTCTCTCCCACATCATCCACCCTTGTTATCAGAATCCAGCCACCTCTCATCATCTCCATGGACACCTGCCTGGTTGAACCTGTGGTCTTCTCTCACCTGTGGATTCTTCTCTGGCCAAGGCCTCCTAACTGTCCCCTGCCTCTGTCCCACCTGCACCCGCCCTGCCACTGCACCTTCTCTGAGGGGCAGCCGGGCTGTCCTGGTAAAATGGTGGCCTACCAAGTCAGCCCTGCTGTGCCTGTCTCTGGCATCTGGCCTTCCCACTCAGCCCTCCCCAGGGCTGTTCCCTGCCTCTCTCCCCCCACTCCTTCCGGCTCTGTGGCTTGTGCATCTGCCACGGGACCTGGACTCTTGCTGGCATCTTAGCTCAGAGGTTCACTCCCACACCCCCTCCAGGCCTGCACTCAGATGTCAGCAGCTAGATTTCACCTCTCTGGCCCCTTCACCCACTTTGTGCTTTGCTGTTTTCTCTTTGGCACCACCATCTAAGACAGGCGTCCTCAAACTACAGCCCGCGGGCCACATGCGGGCCACCTAGCATATTTATCTGGCCCTCTGGGTGTTTTTGCCACTGCCACTGCCTGTCCTGCTTAGCAGCCGACTCATCTCGGGCCCACAGCGCACTCTCCAACGGTCTGAGGGACAGTGAACTGGCCCCCTGTTTAAAAAGTTTGAGGACCCCTGATCTAAGGTCTCATGTAGTTTACTTATTTGCTTTGTTTATTGTGTTTTCCCCAATAGAATGTAAGTTCCATGAAGCCAGGGATTTTTATCTGTTTTATCAATTGCTCTATCCCTGGAACCTAGAACAGGGCCTGGAATGTGGTGGGTGCTAAATAGATATTTACTGGAAAAAAAAAATAAGCATAGTGTTCAAGACCAAGGTCAGATACTGGTGCCATGCCTTTGAGCCTGTTCCTGGCTGGCCCCTGCCTTCCTGGCCTCCCCTGGGGACACAGTCCCTCTCTCCCCTAAACTTATAGCAGCGATGAACAAACAGGCAAAGGCTGGGGCAAACCCCAGTCGGGGCAGGTCCTACCTGCCCCTGTCGCCACCCAGGCTCAGATGAAGCTCTTCACATCCTGGCCCCTCTGTCTTTCCAAACTCCTCCTTCACGCTGCACCAGCCCAGCCACCATGCACAGCCAGAACTCCAAGGACAAGAAACTATTTTCCAAAACCAGGATGCACAAGTTCCCCAGCCCCTCGTGGTCCAGCCTAACCCCCAATCTGGCTTCTCTGGACTCTGTTTCTCCTGAAGGCCAGCCAGGTTCTTCTCCTACCTCTCCTTCCCCATCTGCCTCCTCCCCTTCTCTGTCCCCCCCCCACACACTTGTCCCCTTTCCTCTGTCAGCTGTGTTTGTGGGAAGTTCTCTAGGCATTAGTCACTGGCTTTCAAAACAGACTCCTCCTCTTGAAGACCTAGGATGTTTTTTGTCCCAAATCGCCTGCTTCAAGCCGAGCCTGGTCATGCGTTCAGTAGAAAGTGTGTGGGCTTCTCGTCTCCCCACTACTTCCTGGCTGCGCGACCTTGGCAATATGTCCCCAAGCCTCTTTCCCTCCCAAGAGCACAGCCTCTTGAACCAGGAGGGCTTTCTTCAAATCCCAGCCCCACCACTTTCCAGCTGTGTGACCTTGGGCAAGTTTCCTAACCTGTCTGTGCCTCAAGAGAGAGATATTAATAGCACCTGACTCACAGGGAAATTGGGAGGATTAAATGTGTTAAGCACTTAGCCCAGAACCCAGAACATAAGTGCTTAATTATTGTGGGTTCCATTATCTTCATTTTATCAGCTCCCTTCCCCACAAGTTCCAAACCCTCACCTATTCCCCAACCTGCTTCCTTCTTTCAGCATCAGACCCTACCTCCAAATACCTCTCCTAGGGTCTCACCTCACCTAACTTGGCCCCTGGGGCCCCTTCATCCAGAGCCTGTCTCCCGGGGGCAGCTTTCAGGTTTGCCACCTTGGGAGGCAGGCCTGGATTCTCTCTTGGTTCCCCAAAAACCCTCCATACCCTGGGCAGGTCACAGCACCCTCTGAGCCTCGGTCTCCCCATCTGTCGTAATGGGCTGCTCGTCCTCCCTCCCTGGGTGTGGTGGGGCATGAGAGAGGTGGATGATGGGACTTCTGCCTGCTGGGAAAGGGGAGGGTAGACTGCTGACATCAGGCTCTAGTTGTGAGCCAAGCATGGGGACCCTGATGCCAGCAAGTGTGCCACTGTAGTGGGGCTGGCAGACTGGGCCGTGCATCACAGCTCTGGGCATGGAAATATCTCCTCTTCAAAGAGGATCCTCAGGCACAGGCAGGACCCCAGAGCTGCTGGGGGCTGGGGGCTCCTGTTGGTGCCCTGGGCGGTGCCCACTTGGAGGCTGGGCTGCTCCGCCAGGCCGACGCCAGGCTGGGTGGGGCCAAGCTAATATTAGCTGGGGCAGCCCTGGACAGCTGAGCTTAGGGGCCCTCAGGAGCCAGCCTCACTGGGCCCAGGCTCAGACGTGGCTTCAGCTTGAGCCCTGGCAGCCAAATGAAGCTTTCTCAAGCCGTGTAGGGCATCGGATGCCCCCTTCCACTGTGGCCTGCCGAGGACCTTGCCTGCAGCCTGGCAGCCCTGCCCCGGATGCACTGGTGGTGGCTTCTGCCTGCAAGGCCCTGTCCTTGCCCACATTGTCCCTCACCTTGCCTCTTCCCTGCCCGCTGCAGCACAGGAGGTGCAGGACTCCTCTCCCCACACTCCCACCCTCCATGTAAAGACCGTCGGTGAGTGGCTTCCCGGCCACGGGCTGCTGTTGGGACTCACTCCTTCCCCCATCCAGCCAACAAATATTTGTTGAGCATCTACTATGTGGCAGGCACTGCTCTAGAAACTGGGGCTAAAGCAAGAAACAAAACAGCCCCAAATCCCTGCCCTCAAGCTCTTACATTTCTGTGCCAGGAGAATGAGAAGAAGCAAGTGGCCACATAGAATATATGGTGTGTCAGATGGTGGCAAGGGCGTGGAGCCATGCAGTGGAGGGAAGGAGCCCAAGGAGTGCCCAAGGGACAGTTCTAACTCGTGTGGCCGGGAGGCCTCACTGGGCACATCATATTTCAGCAACACCTTGAAGGAGGTGAGGAGGGGAGCCATGTGACATCTGGGGAACAGGAAGTGAGACGTGCAAAAGGCCTGAGCAGGCGTGTGCCTGCGGTTCAAGGCTCTGTGAGAAGGCGTGGCCAGGGCTGGGCTCAAGGAGCCAGGGGACCACAGTGGGTCAGAAAGGGTAGCGCTCCCTGGAGAACCCACCCCTGTGCTCCTGTCAGGGGGGTCTGCCCCCGGCAGGCCTGCCCCCATGTGCTCCCCGAGCATGCTAGCCCAGAGCTCGGCCGTGTTCACATCTGCGCCGCCCTCTGCCCCCTCCCCCAGCCACAGGGGTCTGCACAGGCTGGACCTCCATGGAGGGGGCTCATGCTTCACCATAATGGGGGACCCCTGTCCTCTTCCTGAAGGCCAGCTGTCCCCAGCGGGAGATGGTGGGGCCACACAGAGCTGCCACCATGCCGGTCGTGAGCTGTTCTATGAGCTGGGTATGGGACTGGAGAGGAGTTGGTGAGGGGGCCAGGAGGTCAGGGGCCCGCCAGGCAGAGGTCATGCCAGCTCCTTCCATCACATAGCCCTGAGGGTGCTCACCTGGTTCTCGCTACAGGTGTGCCGAGAGCAGATGGTTAGAGGAGTGTTATGGGCCGGACTGGAGCCAGACTGCCTGGGCTATGCTGACTTTTAGCTATGTGACCTCTGTAAGCCTCGATCCCCTCAGCTGTAAAGAAGGCACAAGAGGCCCCACTTCAAAGGGCTGCTGTGAGAATCCGCTGAGATAAGATCTAGAAAGCCCTTCAGCACGCATCGGTGGACAACTTGTATGTTTGATCATTCTCGCCATCTTTGTGGGGTGCCCCGCAGACACCGGCCTCGCCCCACCTGGGAGGGTGTGAGAATAGGAGCCTCTTGTCTACAAAGGGGCTCGCTGGAACTGGGGAGGCTTCGCTGGGGACCCAGCCCTGCGGGGGGGGGGGGCTGGGGGACCTTCTCTGCCCACACATGTGGCGGAGCAGGAGAGCAGGACTTCCTCGGGCCTTGTCCCCAGGGCAGGGCCGTGAACATTCCTCCGACCACAGCTACCCGCCAGGGCCAGCGTTTCACCACTTAGAGATGAATATTTTATGCTCAACCTCAGGGGCTCTCTGAGCAACCATGAGGAACATGCTCACCTGCTGGGCCACCTGGAGCCAGCCGGAGCCCTGGGCTAAGGGACGAGGGCTGGGCTCTTGTAAGCCCCCTGTGCTGTCACCCGCTGGAGGCCATCACTGTGCAGCATGCTTGTCCCCAGGTTGCTGTGGGTGCGTCTGACTTGGTCCCCGAGCAGGGCCCTTGCCTTTCTGGGCCTTAGTGTTCTCATCTCTAACGTGTGCATAATGGCCCGCCTCTCAGGGATGCTGGAGAATCCAGCCAGACCAGCGGCAGAAAGATAATTAGGGAGAAAATACGGGGCTAGCAGGGCTATGTGCAGGAAGAGACCACCGTCGCCAGGGCTAGGGGAATGTGGGGAAGGGACAGAGTAAAAGAGGAGCACAGACCTTCCGGCCTGGCCAGGCCTAGGTTTCAGGCTCCCCTCTGCCTCGGCGTGGACTCAGGTAGGTGGTGTCTAGCTGAGTCCTAGTTTCCTCGTGTGAAATGGGGATGGCAGTTGGTACTTCCCAGGCACTGCAAAGCCCCCAGCACGGTGCCTGGCACGTGGAAGGCTCTTGCCAAGGGTTGGATCTGGCTCCTGGCGCACCACTGTCACCCGGTCCTGCGTCCAGATTCCCCAGGGTATAGTAAGGTCTTGGCTGAGCCACAGAGACAGGGAGGGAGGCCGTGGAAGCCTCATCTGGTGGCCCCACAGCCTCAAGGACATGAACCACCGTCACCAATGATATATTTAGCAGCACAAAGGTCAGAAATGCCAGGCACTGGCTTCCCTTCTAGGCGTCAGGAATCGTGTCTCCCGAGGCCTGGCTGTCACCA